CCTAATTTAGACTACAATAAAAAAATATATATAAAATGACAAATATTCGAAATAGGCCTATGTTTTTAAAATAATCAATTTTATGTTACTTAAAATTAACAGTGTTTCTTGTTTTATATCTTGGATTTCCTTCCGTTGGAGTCGTATATTAGTTGCTTCTGATGTGTAAATGAAATACAATTGTAAAATAATGATTAAATCAATAACACAACATACTGTATTAACAAATGGAAACGTGCACACGGTTTGGCCTGAGCCCGGAGAACGACGAATCAGAGCTGAAATCATACAGCCAAACATTTAATATTTAACAGGAATATTTAACTTACTTTTACATTTTAAGAACACTTTCCTCCATTTTGTTTGATTTATTTAGGAATTCCCTCCTCCCCCATTGGCATATTTTACTTTTTATATATATGGGGGACATTCCGAACCCTGGTCTTGTAACTTATCTAGTGTCGAATTTTGTTAGAAATTATCACAAATTTTACCCCAATGATAGTTATTATTTGGGTCCAAGATCTCCTCCGCTCTGAATCGAACCAGCAGCCTTTAAGATTGAAGGTGAGCAAATGTGAGCAATCTTACTACTTTGCTACCAAGACAATTTTAGTAGGCTACTTTTACTCTCCATGCTCAATGGGAGGCATTTATACTGTCCAACCGTGCGAAAACCAGTTCATATTCTTCCTGGAAACCGGTTTATATAGTATCTACGGGGATTGCCCAACTCCGCGCAGTGGTCAAATTTAATCCGAGGAAAAGTTTTATGGCCCCCGAAGGGTTCAGCCCAACTCCGCGCGGTGGTCACTTTTAGGGCCGATTCCAACTCCGCGCGTTGGCCACTTGTAATATTAAGGTTAGGTACCCGTCAATTACGGACCCATCAAAAAGTGTTTGAGACAGGGTAAAAAGTGTGAAATGTTAATAGTTAAGTGTAAAATAAATGCATTTGACAATTTAATCAAAATATGTTCCTTTTACAGGAATTTACAACAGTTTACTTATTCGCCATAAGAATAACATGAGAATTTAAAAATAAGGATTCTTTGGCATTTTTTCTGTAACTATTATGGCGCTTTTACGCTTCGATATACTGAATTATTTGTTTTTAAGCTTTACAAAGTGGTTTCAAAAGAAATTTCAAACCGTTATACTTTCATAATATATACATAAGCCCCCGTTCACATGGTTCAATCGTGCTGGTTTGTGTACTCGTTCGAATAAACGGTTTACACGTTCACACCAAATTTAATCAAAATCAGATCATTTTGCTCGAGTTATCGTGCTAACAGACTTACATATATCCACATAAAATATATATGAATTTGAACGGATGGTGTTTTCGGCCTTTGGGAAATAAAAACGAAAAATTTAATCAGTGAGTCCAGGTCTTACCATGAGACCTACGGTAATAGCCTATTCCCTATACAGGGTGATTGATATAAGTGTGCCAGCCGTTTTATTCGAAAACCATAAGAGATATCAAAAAAAGTTAAAAGGTAAGTGCCTTGGATTTTTTATTTAAAAAATTATAGTCAAGCCAAAAAAAATATTTTAGCCACCATTTTTCCAATATGGCCGCCAACTTTGATTTTTCTTATGGAATACCCTGTATTTCATGATGTATTCTGGTAGAAAATGTAATTTTAAGACGATTTTATTCTTGTAATTATTTTCATAAACCTAACCGTTTCAAAGATAATAATGGTTTAAGTTGTGAAATTTTGAATGGTTTTAGAATAAAACAGCTGGCATGCTTGCTTAGGCCTTTATCGAAACTCTTTCTCATGCAGAAATTTCAAAACTTAACCATTATTATCTTTGAAACGGTTAGGTTTATGAAAAAAATTACAAGAATAAAATCGTCTTAAAATTACATTTTCTACCAGAATACATAATAAAATACAGGGTGTTCCATAAGAAAAATCAAAGTTGGCGGCCATATTGAAAAAATGGTGGCTAAAATAATTTTTTTGACTTGACTACCATTTTTTTAATAACAAATCCAAGGCACTTACCATTTAACTTTTTTTGATATCTCTTATAGTTTTCGAATAAAACGGCTGGCACACTTATATCAATCACCCTTTATATGGGAAATTCGCTAAAACGTTGGCCTGGGTCTGGATTCAATGAAAATCCTCTTCATAGGCGTAAAATTTGCCAATTTTAATAAGATGTAAAAGAAATATGCTCGTAAACCAATTTCAGCCAATTTTCCCCCCAATTTGAGGTGTATAGCTAACTGTTTTATGAAACAGAGATTACAGCCAATTTGTTGAAGCAATCTGTGGTTGTTTACAAGACTAACATTTTTGAATTTGGTACTCAAGTTTATCAGTAAGCTCATAAACCCAGTGCTAATGTGAATGATTGAGTATTGTAGACTTTGGAACATATAAATTTACAGTCACTCTTTCTCACGGGCTTTTTAAAACTTCTTATATTAGTGGTTTTTAAGCTTCGTCTCCTGTTTTGGGTAGGCATATACCTTTTTACTTTCCCTTTCTTATAAATGATTAAAATATATCATAATTTCAAACTTAGAGCACAAACTCTCATCCGTCAGGGCTGTGAGAGCCAAAATTGACCACTGCGCGGAGTTGGGCATGTGCCGCGAGGGACCCGAAGTGACCACTGCGCGGAGTTGGGCAGTCGGTTTTGACAGATTTCTGACCACCGCGCGGAGTTGGGGTAAGCCCAGTATCTACTTCGTCGATATTTCATTTCATCACACTTTATTGTTCAAAGTAATTTATCATAAACATAAACATACACATTTTTAGTACAGTATTTATCATTCATATTATTGTTAATTGTATAGAGAAAAGCTCTAAAGCTCTGAAGTATTTTAATTAACTTGTCCTTTAAATCTTCTCTACGGTAATTGCTGATTGTTTGCTTGTTCGTTAGAGAAAATAAAGCTGTTAAATTTATCAAGGCTTGATAAGATGAGTTAAATACGTATTTGTTAGATTTTCTAAGTAGTATCTTTTAGAAATAGGATACAACAAAATTCTGTTCGCCGCAGTTAGTGAAATTTATGATTTATAACTTCAACAGTAAAATATATTTGGAAACATTTTTGCAAGCATGTTAAGCTTTAGGGTTCCTTCGCAGAATGGATTTAACAATGACACTTTCAAGTCTATGAATGATGAAAAATATTTGTTTGAAAATCTAGTAGCTTTAATCGTAAAAGGGTTCAAAGTTCGCTTTGTAAAGACATTTGACTCTAGGGGGTCTTGTATGTAGAAATCAGCTATAATCTCCTTTGAATATACGCTCTTCATATTTACTTTCAATAACATCTTTGTAAAATATTTATCTTTTGATGTTGAAGAAAACACCACATTTATATAGACTAGTTGTTTTGCTGATTTATTATTCAAAAGAAAACCGAGGTGATACGGTAATCAGCGATGCTCAGATGACAAAGATATATATTTCAAATATAAGTTATATTTGATAAAACATTATCAAATATGTTTTAAAAAGCATGTTAAATGTATATACGTACAATGTTTTCAAACGAGATAACCTTGGTTTGAAATTTCAATCGGTGAGCAAGTTCTAACATGCTGAAAGTATTTCGAGTCATCAGTAACTCTTTGTAAAAGGCGTGTCATTTGTGAACAATGGCTAGTAATGCTGGTGATAATTTTCAAAAGTCAACGCACTCTTAGAACAGAACGTTACTTCATTTTCATGCTAATTGGTTGCTCCAAAAAGAAATGGCAAACTGAAGAATGTTTTAACAGCATAATTCTCCAGTTTAACTTACACTTTAACAGCTTTAAAATGGAGCCTTGCTATTATTAATTGATTTATTAAATATCATTAGGGTATTAAATTCCTCAAATCGGCCACTACAAATTCTTATATTATTCTATATCCGTCTTTTTAATTATACATTTTTACTTGCCAATATAATAATAATAATGCGAAATATCCTTAAAACTATTAAATCAACATTTTCCATTTGTCGAAAAAGGCCCACATCTTTCATAGTTAGTACATACTTTCTAGTAAAAAAACATACTTATAATTAATTAAACAAGTCCTTTAAAGTTACGTAAAAAACCATCAAGTCACAATTGTCCTTTTATTTAATCAATAAACTTCCCAAATCATTATGCAATACACCTTTAAATAAGTCAATACATTTCCTACTGATTTGTTAGGGAATATACTGCAAACTAAATTCGTTAAAACGTCTCCTTCATATGTCCACACAATCAACACATATTAATCCTGACAGTAGTCAAGGTCGAAGTCAAGGTCGAGGTCAAGGTCGAATCGAAACATTTAGTCCTCCGTTCTACTGACCCGCTTCAACAATATACTCCCAGGATATATAAATCAACACTAACAGCTGTAAGCGCGTGCCTAATACTGTAGGTTATCTGATACAATGTCTGTGTACACTTGTTACACTACACTTTATCTTGCAGTATTGATATAAGGTGATATGCTTGCCCAACACAGAACATGGGTAACACAAGGCAAAAGTGGTTCTACACCGAGTTGGACCTTTGAAATAAAATATATCGTACTATAATTATTCTGAAATAGCGAAATAGCATTTTATGTTGTAGTAAAAAATCTAACAAAACCCTTAAATATAAATAAATAAAGCTTGTTTAAAAAGGAACATACATTACATAGGTCTCAAAATTGCACATATACTATGAATCCGTAAAACAAATGGGAATTTAACTGATATTTCACAGTAGTTGACCTTATAAGGAAATGGTGACTATATTTACAATTCCATTTAATATTAAATTATTTAAATAATAAGGTTATGGATTATTCACACTTGTACTTATTCTCCATCTCCTACAGTTTCTTAGTTACCAATGGCAATGCAGTTAAATTGTACTTATCTAGAGTTCATAAGGCTAAGTAACATAACAATTTCAAATTCATGATTGAGACTATTTTGTAATGTATTTATTTGAAATGTAACCAGTAAACTTTATTTTCAGTAGCAGCCTTTCTCAGCAACGAAGGGAAGAAATTCATCACTTGAGACAAAATGCAGATTGACACGTGAGTGAAAGGGTTGTTTCATCCCTCTTGTACAATATTTATAAACTTTTGAAATTATTACACAAGAACAAAATATTATAAATTCTTTTAAGATTGGGTTAAGGGACAATTTTTACGCAGCTACATATGTTTCTAAAACAAATGTTAAGGCTCATTTCATCATTGATGCGATAGTAGAAATAAGAGAAAGATAAACATGTTAACTTGAAATTTTGTTCAGCACAGTTCACCTATAGAGTTTGAATCAAGTGTTTCGAAGATAAATATAAGTTAAGGAAGTCGATGTATCAGAATTGTTGAACTTTGCCGTAGACAACTCCAAGTACAACAGTGAGTTAATATTCTTCATAAGACTATCGTCACTACTTCTGATGGGGCTAATCAAATTGATTTTCTTAAGTAGTCTCATAACATTTTATCACACCCTGTGACCTAGTATATTTACTTTTTATTATTTTTGTACGGCAAAAATTCCGAAACCACCCTCTTTCATAATATTGCAAATTACTCTTGTTTGGTATACAACCTTTCTAGCATAGAACCATAGGAGGTTGACTTAAAATTGGGCAAGTATACTTTTCATCATAGACATTATGTAGAGAACATTGTTAACGGTATTATCATATTCGAGGGTTGTGTTTGTTGTTTAGTGTATAACCAACATTTTAAGTATATAATCTAATTCAGTTTTACCCCGATAGAGAGCCAGCCAGCCCCAGTGGACCGCCTCCACGGGTTCCATCCCCTATGATCATGGTAACCGATCAAGACGCCGCCTCTAGTTCTTCAGCTTCCTCTGCCGCCTCCGCCGCCGCCGCCTCCACTACCGCCTCCGGAACTACCACCTCCGGAACCACCTCTCAACTCACCCTCACACCCACAAGGGAACGCAAGAAGTCACCGGCCACAGGGGTAGCTCCTAGACAAAGGTTGGTTGAGTAAAATCTCTTTCACGTTGAATTATTTTTGTTACAGTACCTTGTTTTGTATCCTTCTTCTTGCTAACATTATCCTTTTACAAAACAAGGTTATGTGACTGAAATAATTAAATGTTTAGTTCGTGTCATTGGGAAAATAAATAAATACACAATTTTACATGTTCTTGGACTTAAATTAGTTTATTTCAGATTTTACTACGCTAATCCACCTGAGGATGTTTCTTAAAGCTGGGATTTCTTAGGCAGTAGTGTGAAACTCGAAAATCGGAGAAACGTTTTTCCGCTCTCCAGTGGCTTTCGCCACGAAAACTTTTCCATCCTAAGAAAACAGCACCATTGAATTACCTAAGACTAGATGAGAGTTGGCTCCTCTTAAAAAATTGTTTATTTCATATTTTTACCCTTAAACATGGAAATTTCTAATTCTAATTACAGCCGTCGTGTGGACCTTAAAGACAAATAAAATCTCATATTGAAGTGTTGTTGTACGATTAAAACCTACGGATCAACTCTGTAACCTACGGATAAAATTCCAAAAATGCTGTCCATTTAAAAATCCGATGTCATCCCTATGGAGAAAAAGTAAACTATTATTGTTCGCTTGCTTATGATTATATGTTAATCACATTTGGAAAATGTATCAATTTCTTACTATTATTTTAAGATGAAAAAACATGTTTTTCTTTCCCTGTAGTTGCAAACCTAAGTACTCGTTAAATCTGATTTAAATGTAAATAGGGGATAAATCAAAGAAATATCTTACTTAAAATCCACACAAATGACAATTTGGTTGATTTGTACCTTTACTACGGAGGGGGTATTTATGTTTACCCGAAAAACATACTTATGTTCACTACCACTTCTTTGTAATATAACAAATTATATTCAATCCCGTGCATCAAAATAGAAGTGAAAACGTTTCCATACTTAAGTATTTAGGAGTGTCTCTATATTCCTCATAATACTGTAGTAATGGAATATAATAGTCTAGACTTTGCACTAAATATTAGTCTAGTTTAGAGTATAGGAGCCATAATTTCCTAAGTGATATTGGTACTAGAGTTCACCATTCTGATAATGAAATTAAACCAAAGGTGTTAAACTAGAACGACAAAGGCTGGCTTTGCTCAAAGTGATCAGAGTAAATTAAATCTAATGACGTGAATCGGATTTGTACAGAGAACACGAGCACAGTTTTATTGAGCTACATGTTTAAATTCTTTCTCTCCTGTTTGGAAATCGTAGGAGTTTCCTAATCCGATTTTCCCTGTATAAACTCTCTACATAATCTTTTCTTTAAGGATTGTCGTAACGAAGTTGGAAAATAAAATTGTTGGCTTGAGATTTATTTGTATAATTTATTTTGTAGCACATTGTAAACATTTTTCAAAAAAAGCGTTGTAATTGTGTGTAATTGATTTTCATGTTGTGAACATTACACATATATTTCATTGGAGTAGGTTTAGTACACACGTTGCAATTAGAATATCGCTTGTTAATGATCAAAAGTGTCGTTTTTGCTGGTTTGAAAATTGAGGCACCTGACCTTAATTGTTAACTTTACAAACATTTTATTAGCTGAATAATCAGCTGTTCTCAGTCAATAACAAAGCTACACAAATTATTTAGTTTCAGACACTTATAGTTTATTCATATTTGAGTCGAAATACGTCTAATTGCATCCTCCATCTTAATTTGTAATGGTAAAAAAATAAAACCTTCATAGTTGTCCAAATCTAACCACCTGAGGATTAGTTGGTTGATATTTGGCTTACCAATAGTTTAGCAATGAAGTATTATTGTAATCAGCTGTGGTTAGTGGGTATAATAATGATTCCCAGCTAATGTAGAGAACATTTTCATGGAACTTGGTATTTTCAACGCTGTTTTTAGCGCAGTTAAAATGCATATTGAAATAAAAAAAAAACACATTTTCAAGCTATACATATAATGATGAAAAAATAGTTTAAACTCAATGTTTTTTCGAAAATTATCCCTCTAAACTGACTTTTATTAGCGTATGTGAAAAGTTCTTCGTTTAAAAGAAACTGTTTTCCTGGATTATTTTCTTTAAGGGAGTTTTTTCGACAAACCACTACCATTTCTATTAACCTTGCCTAAGACGTCATACAGGATGAGTTCGGAGCCTACGCGTTAATCTTCCCATTGAACGATTCCCTCAGTTGAATTAAAACACAGTTGTCCTGATGTTAGTTCTTCTTACAGTTTGTTTATGGATACATTTTTTTACAAAGTAGCTAGTATGTGTGGTCGGTTTGGTGCTTACATCATATCAATTTGGTATGTTACCAATGTAAATGTTTAATGTTTTAAGAAAATATTTTGTTCTGTTTATGTCAGTTTTAAATATTTTATTAGTGAAAGATTTGATCGATTCACATTTAGATTGTTGTTCTACATGAACAATTATAGCATGACAATACAATTTTACAAATAAATTGAGCATACATCTAGTTCCGGTAGTAAAATTTCTTATAGCATTTTTTGTTGTAGTAGATCCAAAATACATACACGATAATTTCCACATCTCTAAAGTGTATTTAATACGTGGGAAGGTACTGTAACACTTGTAGAATCCCTTACATATAGTAGTTTAAAAACTGATAATATATTCAACGTCAAATAGTGAGAACAGATAACTTATTGATTAATTTATGGTTTCAAAAAATTTGAAAAATATTATTCAATTAATTCTATGAACTTCTTTATTCCACATTACATAATTAAATTTATGGTAATCATAGACATTTACACAGGGTATTAAATATATAATGGCTTAAATAGATTAAATATTTATAATGATTACTCATAATAACGCACTAGATAGTTGTTTATAAAACCACCTAAATAAACAGTAAATGCACTCTTGATGACTTAAGCTATAAATGTAACACTGTAATAAATCTTTTATGTAAATAAATTAGCTAATTATTGGAATTACTCTCTTACTACATTGTGTTTATGGGTTAATTTATGCGTTGTAAGTTATTAAAAATAGAAACGAAAATATGTGGGAATTTCGAAAGGAAATTTAAATCAAATTCAAGAAGAGTCCAATATTTTAAACTAAACTCTGTGTGGGAATTATCAAACACATTTTCAAATGATTTAATATCCCCTTTTAAAATAGCAGTATCAGATGCATCAAACAGGGAATGAAATTTCAGTTTCAAGTTGGATTAATGTTTATGTTGGATTATCTTTCGAAGTGTTTTATTTCTGTCAAGATCACATGTATGAGAGTTTTGATAGCAAAGGTTAACACTGTAAAACAACGTATATAATCTGTACTGTTCGAGTACCAAGCTAATCATTCACATTTTCATTCATAACGTTGATAATCTAAACACGACTATGAGCAATATCACTTATTCAAATTCAACACTGCATCACAAAACAATTTGTTGCATTTTGCAACACAACTGCATAATGTGGGTATTATAAGTGCAATTCTAGTTTTAAGCAACTCGCCCATCAGAATAATTCATATCTGCTAGGTAGTTGCTGTTATAATTCAAAGCAAGGTCAGGGAAGAATTTTAATATTTACCGATGGGCTTTATGAAGGATCTTTCTATCTAACTGTTCAAAAAAAGGTGGCCATTGCACAATTTCCTAACCTCACAACCAAAAGAATAGATTAGAATATTTGTTTATCAGTTTTGTTTATTGATTTGTTAATTTACCACACAACAAAATGAATAGATCGGAATTTATTTGTCAGTTTGTTTATTGATTTTTATCATTTTAATCATTCACCACACAACGAAGAGGATACACTGATTTACTGATTTACCACACAACGAAAATGATTATTTCAATTGATTTATTAGTTTGTTTATTGATCTAAATAAGAATATTTTTTTAGATTCATTGATTTACTATACAACAAACGGATTGATTTAATTGATCTATCAGTTTTTTATTGACTTAAATAATTACTTTTGGATTCATTGATTTACCACACAACACAAGGATTGATTATAATTCATTTATCAGTATATTTATTGACCTAAACAATATTTTTTTTATTTATTCATTTGCCATACAACGAAAAGGATTGATTGGAATTTATTTGTCAGTTTATTCATATTTTCATATTTTGTTTTTAACGAATTTCCCATATAGGGAATAAGCTATTACCGTAGGTCTTATGGTAAGACCTAGACCCGGGACCGATTTACTTTTTCGTTTTGAGGTCCCCAGAGGCCAAAAACACCATCCGTTCAAATTTATATATATATTTATATATGTGTCCGTTAGCGCGATAACTCGAGCAAAATTGATCCGATTTTGATGAAATTTGGTACAAACGTGTAAACCTACAATTATTCAAACGAGTTCGCGAACCAGCATAATCGGACCATGGGATCAGGGGTTTATGGGGGTTATGGTTTTATGGGGTAAAAATGGGTTTTTCTCATTTTTGACCCTAAAAACTTTAAATTTCTAAATTTCTCTCTAGACCATTTCGAAGAGCTTAAAAAAACAAATAATTTAGTATATTGAAGTTTTTTTGAATGTTCATTGACTACGGAGAAAATTAATAAAATTTTAAATTCCCATGTTATTCTTATGGAGAATAAATAAACTGTTCTAGTTTGCTTGTTTATGGATATATTTTAATCAAATTTGGCAATTTGGCTTATTTCAAACTAAGCTATGAATATTTCAATTTAAAAAAAACACACCTCAACATCTTCCCCGTAGCAGCAAACCTAACTACTCACTAAAATTAATGTTATTTAAATAGGAAATAAATCTGAAAATTTATAGGGAGTATTTTAGTAGAAATCAAGTCGGGTAAATGGAAATATGCTTAGTATGCATGTTTGCTGCGACGGGGGTATTGTTTATTATTTTGTTCATCACACAAGGAAGAGAATGTATTGAAATTGATTTATTGGTTCATTGATTGATAAAAATAATAATTTTATAAACTTTTTGGTTTACCACACAATAACAACGATTGAAGGTAATTGATTTGTCAATTACTTGTTTATTGATTTACATAATAGCTGCAAAATTTTGACAGAAATAAAAACTAAATTTCACATCCAATAACGTCTTTTGTTTTCTAGTCTACATTTTTATAGGTTGTAGTCGGATTATGATACTGATTTTAAATTTCTTAAACATATAGACCATAGTACAACATACCCCTTCTACTGATTGACATTTATTAATGGTTGATAATATTCTAGAGCTATAAAACAACAAAATACTTTAAATTAATAATAATTTTTAATTTTTTAGTTAAATTATTTTTAGTGTTTGTATAAATTTGAATGAAATCATATTATTTCAAAAATAAAAATAAATTTGTATTGTTGATTAACTTTAATTTGATGAGTCACACGTCTCTTTGGTATATCATGAATAAAACTAAAACAGTTCTTACGATTAATCTTTAAGAGAGCAGATTTAGTATGAAATAGTAAATATAACAATTCATTCCCTTAATAATAATTGTTCCTGCAAACAGAAAATCACAATTTATTTCATTCATTGCTGAAAGCACTTTATGGAGTTTTTACATCATGCAACCTATACTTTTGTAAACGTATTTAATATTAATATAATAGTATCTTTGTAAAAATAATGGCATTACCATGTAACGAACCAGTGTCTTGGTAAAAGTAATTTGACCACATTTAGAAAATAAAATCCTTTCTGTTATTCACCGAATAGTTGAACATAATATCACTAATCATAAATAATTCGTCAAATTTAGTTAAACAAATTAATTACAATTTTTTATTAGCATTGTCGTGCCTGCTAATAGTAGAAGAAAATCAGAGCAACGTAATACTACATTTTTTAACATTTATTTCTAAAAATAATAAAATCCACTGAACATTTTAAACTGCTAATGCAAACAGTATTGACAAATCTACATCACCTAACTAACACGTAAAGATGTTGTTACAGTGGAAGTAATACCATTCTGCATCAGACACAGTTTTGACAGAGCAATAAGTTACAACAGACTTTTGACAAATGTTTAGCTTCAACAACCTCATATCCTTCTCTCCCCTTCATCCCATACCACATCATCTCTCAGAACTTGTTTTGAGCTACTTTTCCCCCTTAAACTCAGAAAGTATCATGTTTTGTTGGATAAAGAAACAATGTTCCAATTTCCTTTTCTTAGTGACATGTAATATCAGTAATATACATGTAATATCCAGTATATGATGATTAATGGTTACATATGCTAACAAACACATAGTTTACTTGTTTTGTGAGCAGTTTAAACCTTAGGATATTTAAATGAAATGATTCACAACCTAGAACGTCGATCTTTTTGTTAGTTATCATTCATTAATTGATAGCCCAATGTTAGCATCTAGGTCTAGAAACTATCTCGATTGGAATAAAACCAGTGACCTTAAAAAAATGCAATGCTATCCATCTACCCAAAGAATCTTTCGTCATACTATTGGAGTATGGTTTTTGGATGGATATACCAGTTTAAGGACCCCCCTGAACCCCAAAAAGTGTCTATGTTTGTGTGTGGATGTGTTCGGACTATCAGACCGAGTTTTATAAGAATTTATATGTATGTACTAACTTGTGGCATCCCTAAGAATTCTCTTTTTAATTTTGATGTTTAATGGTAAATTTTCCATATACCCCATTAAAATAACTGAAATTGGATGAAAAAAACTATTTAGATGATTTTGATTAACATTTAATATGTCCTTATAATTTTGAACAAAATGGTACAACCCCCATTTTTTTAACTGTGGTTAAAAAGCCATACCTTACTTCAATACTTTTAACTTAAATGAGTAATTGTAACAAGTTAGTGTGGGTTTCCCATAAAAATTCAGAAAAACAGTTCAGATCTTTGAAAAATGGCTCCACAAATTTTAATTAAAATTTAGCATGTTATGATCCTTATTAAGCCTTTCAAAAGCCATTGCATTTTTCGTGATTTCCCCCATCAAATCTCATAGTTACTCCCACAGCTTACCCATTAGGTCATTGACAAACTAATGGGAGTTAGTATGTGTCTGCTTATACTGTTTATTTACCATAAACATTGTCATGTTTTAGGAAGAGGTCACAACCTGTAAGGGGTGAACTTCTACCAGATCCGGACAAGCTATTGAGCTACAAACACCACGACAAGAAGGAAGACGACCTGGAGGACCCGACGTTTCCCGGGGGACTTCCTAAACCTCCTCCAGAGCCGCGGGCCCCGGGACAACCAGCTGAGAGGAAACGGTCCAACGTCACTTTCTGCCCAGTCGTCGAGACCATCGAGAAGTGATACAAAGGAAACTGTGTGTTTCCAGTGATAGGTTTTCTGGTGTCAGGTTTGGCATGCGTCGACTGCAGAGAAGTTATAAAAATATAGTTGAGATGTGCCACCGACGGAGCGTGATGGTGTGAATTGATATAGAATACACAAGTTTTTTACCAAACAAAGCTAACACGACGGCTTAAGCAGGAAACCCACAGACTCCCGCACTAGTGCGACGCTCTCCGACACCACACCTTTCGACAAGTCTCTGACACCTTCCGACAAAATTACTTTGCATGGCTTTAAATGGACTGTAACCCACTAGTCCGACGCTCTCCGATCCGACACCTTCCGACGACATTGCTCTCTGGGACATTGCTGTCGGACGTCGGATCCGTCATTACTCCACTCTGCGTGCACCAGGCCTAGATTAGTCACTGTCTAGTGTTGTGTGTGACATGAGTATTGACGAACGTTTGATCGAAGTGGTTTCGGAATATCGCTTTCTTTATACAGTAGGTTATAAAAGCTGCTTGAACATATTCAGATGCTCTGACCAATATTATTACATTATTTTAGAAAAAGATTATGCAAACAGAATCATCGGATGGACAGATAATGACCTCAATTCACAAAAAGCCTAAAATATCTAGTTTTTCGTCGGTTACTGCCGGAGCCCGTCGGACCATTATTGCTAGAGAGACTTGTTGTTGGAAGGTGTCGGAGAGTGTCAGACTAGTGGGTTTCCTGCTTAAGTACACTGTAGCATATTATTTTATGTCTTATCTACTATAGCAGTAATGATAAATAAGTACACCTTTTGAGCGACTTACTCAACTATGTATAAATACAAAATTAAATACATCAGGTCTATATACTTGAAATATCTACTTGATTATACACGCGTCAATAGTACAATTGTGAAGTAGACATCTCAATGTATTTTTAAAGTTGAAGCTTCCATTATATTGGAAATTAATTGATTCATTGATAAAGTGATCTGATGTATTATTTTTTCGAATAAGTGTTTATCAAACCAAACCAAAAGGACAATTTACTGTAAACTATTGTTAAACTCATTGTTGTATTTAAGTTGTTGCATTTTACTCTTTAGAACTAAAGTATGTTAATAATAGTTTTGATCAAAATAATTTAATATTTCATTTAATGTGTTAGCAAGAAAGTACAGTGATGCATGTTTATCCAGTGCATTAAATGAATAAGGAAGTTTTCCAGGAATGATTTTAAATTTTAAGTATTAATTTATGGGTAAATACTCTTTTATGTAAATAGTAAATGATTATGAAATTTTTGGTAATTCATATACGTACATTATTATAAAACCCTTTAGGCTACCATGTGCTATTTGAACAAACTATATGCTTTAAGTTAAATGTACAAATATGTAAATACTAATAAATTGTATTTGATATTTTTAATTTCATCGACTACCCTCCAAATTATTTTCCTATCTTATGAGCTACTGTTTTCAATTTTATAACATTATGTTGAATAACAGCTATTTATAAGCATAAACTTTTGTTCCAAACAAATTTTAGATATTTTAAAATTCTAAATATATTTGACATATTTATTTACACTTATTATCTCTATGTTTGGCCCAGTTTAGTTATGGCTAGTTGCAAAAGTACCATATAAAGATATTAGATAATCTTGAGAAACAAAATGGCCCGTTGGACGGATATAGCGGTCGCTGGAGTAACGTAAATCTGCAGATAAAATTGTCATAAACAGTTGCTCTTATCTGCCATTGTCAACATATGGTGAATATTTCCCTTGTCGACTATGTCTCTTATTGCACTCTTGGCATGTACAATGTAAACTGTAGAAGAGTTTTAATTCATTTCATAATATATGTTTGAAGTTGTGAGATAGTGCTCGCCTGGTAACCAAAAGGTCGCCGGTTCGATTCCGAGAAGTGTTAAGCTTTTGGATGGTTCGAAATTGTAGCTGTCCTTGGCCAGGTCCAAACTCACCAACATTTTTGGGGTCGTTTCTACTGTCCGAATTCACCAACTTTCTACCTAGAGCAGGTACGATATTTCTCCCGGCGGGCGGGGAAGGAATTCCCTCCGAATAGTTTGCCCTCGCCTGCTCCGTCTCGTCTCGGCGAGAGTGTACTGCTTAGTCCTAATAGTACTGTTTAAGCTGTGATTGTTTCAGCTTGCAGTTATTCATCATATCATAATAAATAGTAGACATAATAACATCCCACTTCGTGCACGTATATTGGTAAGACGTACAAAATCATGATCATTCTTTTTTTAAGAAATCCGAACCATATTTGATTAATTTACACATAATACAAGTACATTACGTAAAACCAATTTTGAGCTATTCCATACTACAAAAACATAGCACGGTAAAAATATACGAAATGTACAGATAACAATAAATACACAAATATATAAATAAATAAACCTTCTAGGTACATAGGAATATAATTGGTTTGTAATCGCCGTCAACATTTGTATAGTTGAATTGTCTGCAGTTGCTTATCCCTAAGCGTCTAGCAGTGCGAATCAATATCCACTTATGTATTCCTAGATAAATTTGAATATAATCACAAATCAAATCTATCTAGTAATACAAAAAGTGGATTTTATTTTATTTAAACTGTCTATGTTATAAAGGTTGTCAATAGATAAATACAATAAAATAAAATAGTAAACAAAACAAGTTAGCAAAATGTATACAAATAAAAATATTGCAATTACAAATTTGCACCCGTAAAGAACAAAAAACAAAAAAAAATAGTATTGCTGTAATAAAAAAACCATTAAAAATCTATAATATGCATAAAGTACAGAAAACAACAAAAATGTAATTAAAAAGGTGTAAATAAAGAAACTGAAACAGTTTCAAGTTCATTATGTGGTTAAAAATATCATTATAAAACTAAGAAACGTATATTATTGAACAAAAAATATCTACATTAAGACCACATTTAATTTGAAATATCCACAAAATATACTAAACAGTACAAATGGAAGTCACGAACAAATAAGTACAATCAGGACACCAGCAGCAAAAAAATATTGTTTTGTGCAATTATCAATAGACCACAACCAGATTAAGCAATATACCAAGTATTGTCAGCAGCCTATACGTTCATATATAATTGCAATATTTTCATTTTTATTCATTTTGCTAACTTCTTTTGTTTACTATTTTATTTTATTGTATTTATTTATTGACAACCTTTATAACATGTACAGTTTAAATAAAATAAAATCCGCTTTTTGGATTACTAGATTTGATTTGTGATTATATTCAAATCTATCTAGGAATACATAAGTGGATATTGAATCGCACTGCTAGACGCCTAGGCATAAGCAACTGCTGACAATTCAACAATACCAAATGTTGACGGCGATTACAAACCAATTATATTCATATGTACCTAGAAGGTTTATTTATTTATATATCTGTGTATTTATTGTTATCTGTACATTTTGTATATTTTTACCGTGCTATGTTTTTGTAGTATGGAATAGCTCAAAATTGGTTTTACGTAATGTACTTGTATTATGTGTAAATTAATCAAATATGGTTCGGATTTCTTAAAAAAAAGAATTATCATTATTTTGTACGTCTTACCAATATACGTGCACGAAGTGGGATGTTATTATGTCTACTATTTATTATGTTCTGATGAATAACTGCAAGCTGAAACAATAACAGCTTAAACAGTACTATTACTGTCGGGGGAAAAGTTTAGACACTCGAGTTTGGAGCTCTACAGAAACGTGACCAAACTAACTTAGAAAAACACGTAGTATATAAAATTTTCGTTGTTTTATTCTACGTATTCCTGTGAAAACTAAAAAAATTTAGCTCGTTTAGGAAATTTTTTATGACAGTCGGAAGGTAAAAACTGCCTGTTTTTAGAGTACCAAAATCCATCCTATGACTTTGAAAATTCGCACAATGTAAACTAAACGTCAGAACCTTATCAAACTTAAATACAATATAGACACATATATAATGAATTAATTTGTGTTGTTTCAGAATTTTACTCTACCCAAAAAGTTTTTGTTGTAACTTTTGTAAATTAACTTTTTCTCAAAAACGGCAAACGCTAGAAAAAATTTGAAATCTTGTTTTGGAGGTGATTGGTTTTTTATTTGAAATATTGATACTGCTTAACCAAATTGTTACGCATATTATTTATATAAGTTAACATTTAGTTTGGATAGTGCAGAGGCCGAATACGGCACTTCCAGACCGCCACCGGCTCTGACTGGAAGCATACCCAAAACACTGAACAGCAGTTATTAAATTATTAACCATTTCCCATCACCTTTTCTAGTGAGGGCTTTGGACCTCCAACGTCACTCCCACACTTCTAAAAAAACATATAACACTGACAATCATTGCATATTCCGAATCTGACAATTTAGATTTAGAGCCTATATTTGGAGTGGTAATACTTTCGACCCTTTGGAAGAATGCAAAACATGATATTTCCTGTGAGTCAGTCAGTGACACACATTACGTGAATCACCTTACGCTCGGTCAAGGTCCATCGTGGCAACACTGCACTGGATTCCTGAGCGGGCGATGGTGTTTGCACCCCTTGCAGGCGCGAGATCATCCAGTTTTTTGTTAATTTATATAAATAACATGCGTAACAATTTGATTGAGCAGTATCAATATTTCGAATAAAAAAACAATCACCTTCGAAACAAGCTTTTAATTTTTTTCTAGCGTTTGCCGTTTTTGAGAAAAAGTTGATTTACAAAAGTTACAACAAAAACTTTTTGGGTAGAGTAAAAATTCTGAAACTACACAAATTAATTCATTATATATGTGTCTATATTGTATTAAAGTTTGATAAAGTTCTGACGTTTAGTTTACATTGTGCGAATTTTCAAAGTCATAGGATGGATTTTGGTACTCTAAAAACAGGCAGTTTTTACCTTCCGACTGTGATAAAAAATTTCCTAAACAAGCTAAAACATTTTTGTTTTCACAGGGATACGTGGAATAAAACAATGAAAATGTATATATACTACGTGTTTTTCTAAGTTAGCTGTTACTTTTATGTAGCTCTCCAAACTCGAGTGTCTAAACTTTTTCCCCCGACAGTAGGGCTAAGCAGTACACTCTCGCCGAGACGAGACGGAGCAGGCGAGGGCAAACTATTCGGAGGGAATTCCTTCCCCGCCCGCCGGGAGAAATATCGTACCTGATCTAGGTAGAAAGTTGGTGAATTCGGACAGTAGAAACGACCCCAAAAATGTTGGTGAGTTTGGACGTAGCCGCTGTCCTTGATCATTGGGCTTTTAATACATTTCCTAATTAAAGAAACAACAGGCTTCAGGAATAATTTAACTATATTTGTTAGTAGTTTGCATGGGGTAGCGGATTTTTATCCCCCTGGAATTTCACCCCCTGGGCAAACGTGACGTCACAAACCAGGGGGTAAAATTCCGGCCGCGAACTTTTGAGTTTCGCGACATCAGCTCGATGGATTAAACGCGGAATTAAACATATATTTTCACGATTGTGAGTTTAATCAGAACACATCAAATTATAAAAACCTAGAATGTACGGCCCGAATTTTTACCCCCGGAATTTTACCCCCCGGATTTTTACCCCCGGAATCTTACCCCCCGGATTTTTACCCCCGGAATTTTACCCCCTGGCCAGATATATAAATTAGTGAGAATGATTAATTATCGTCATTCAGTTTTAATTTAATGGTAAACATTTTATTATTAAGTAGCCTATCTTAATTTATATTTAACATTAACTAATCGAACAGGGTTTTAATATTAATTTTGAGATTCGAGTGTCAGGATTCGATCTTTGAAGCCAACTGTTGGTTAATATGATCAAAATAAAACAGCGAATTCTGTTTACTTAGTTGAGGTTACAAAATAAATAAATAAAGATAGGCTACTAAATAATGAAATGTTTACAATTAATTAAAAACAGAAATAAGAAATTCAATCATTCAATTTATAAAATCAGCCAGGGGGTAAAATTCTGGTTGGTAAAATTCCGGGGGGTAAAATTCCGGGGGGTAAAATTCCGGGGGTAAAATTCCGGGGGGTACAATTCCGGGGGTAAAAATCCGGCCCGTACATCTTCAGTTGCCTAAACGCTAGTTATATGGACAGGGGGTAAAATTCCGGTTTTTATCGCTAATCTAATTAATCATGCTCTGACTATTTTCATTAGACTTCCAATTCCGCGGGGGTAAAATTCCGGCCGCGAACAAACTTTTGGCCTCTCAGGTTACTACGTCATAGTGACGTCAGCTTTGCCCAGGGGGTAAAATTCCAGGGGGATAAAATTCCGGCGACCCGTTTGCATTCGTCTCAGCTTAAAATAAGCAACTAGGGTGTAATCTTGTCTAGAAGGAATGATAATGATAAAAATGATTGAACTGGGTCTGATGATGATTAGAGTGTCCAATCGAAATCGATCACTACCAACCATATATGTATTTACCGTCTTGTGAGTAAACGGTATAAGTGTAACTATATTATTATAAGTGTTATTCGACGTATCTTTTGTGCTTTCAGGAGAATGAAAATTACAATATTAATACTTCATTAAATGTTGATGTGAATAAATAGAAGAATTATTTAAAACATTTATTCGAATCAAGAAGTTTTCAGTATATCTTGCTTAAACTTTGCGCTAAATAAATAACCATAATTTTTCTCATAGCATATTAAATTTGAGCCAAGTATAATACAGTACAGCGAAAAATCACTTTCGGTACAAGTTGTGAATGATACTTTTCATCAAACTCAAAACTGATCTGTAAAATAATAGCTATTGCATTTCTTATTTAACATTATTTAAATATGACAGTAAAAGTCATGGGTTATAGCAAATCTACATAACAAGCTAAAACTTATAAGTTCAAAGTTATGTTTATTGTGCAGTTAGAGAAGTTTAGCCTAGACTTTACTTTAGCCCGGTCACGTTTTTGATTGGCGTTTTTTGCAACCGTATTTCTATTCTATGTTAAAAATATGTGTTTGGTGTTTTATTTATTGAACTCTGTTAACGACCTCCACATGAAGTAATCACCTGACACCTTGAGGCCTGATGATGGTTCAGAAGAACCGAAACTTACCAAAACAGCAACAAAGGATAACCATATGCAGGTATTGTAAACCTTTACAAGTTAAATGCAATATAAGCTTAAAAACTAGCTTAAGCGTATTTTGTGCTCACATTTTTCTTGTAAAGCGGTAAAAATCAGCTGATTTCAATTAAATCATTTGCAAACAAACACTATCGTGCGTAGTGAGAAAAGGTATAAGTGATTGAGATCATCGGATAGTAAATTTAGATCAAGGGAAAATTAGGTTATCGTTTTCCTTTGCTCTGGTCTGGTCTTTTCTGTAAGGAGTTATGGAATAGTATATTACGTTACTAGTCCTGAAAATAAGTGTTTACCGGACGAGTGTGGTCGTTCCCGTGCGAGACGAAGTCGAGTACGGGATTACCATACGAGTCCGGTAAACACATTTTGGACGAGTTACGTACGATAGTTTACGCCATATTACTAAATCTGTACAAATCCTTATATATTTCTACCAACTAAAGGACTAAAAATCACTAGTCATAACCTCTCTTAGGGGTTATGTTTTTGTGCATAACCACTTATTGCCACCTAAATACAGTTAAATCAGCTGATTGGTGTCCGGTAAAACTTATTACAGTACAGTAGTACGCAATGAAACCCCATTTGAATAAGCTGGTGGCAAACATCTGTTTTCTGGACTAAATCCTTGCGTGGGAAGTTCGTCAAACTAATATAGTGTGGCGTAATAGTATATTTCGTACCTAGGGCCGAAAATGAGGTTTTGCCGGCTCGAGATAGTTTTTAAATCGATCGAGAGCGGCAAAACCATTTCGGTCCGTGGTACGAACGCTATTTTTCACCACACTATACCCTATTACCACTATTCACCACTATAATAATGCACTCTGATAGTCAACACAACCAGAACTTTAAGGTTATGTGAAGAAATAATTTGAGGAATCAGCAAAAATAAAAATAAATAGTTGCTAGGCAACGGTGACAATAACACAATTCTATTGCAATGCTATGAATTTTGATTGTGTATTTAAAATGCATTCATGTTTTAAGTAAGTAAGCGGACAGCTGATTTTGCGGCACCGGCCTGTAAAAACCTGCTCGGTCCCCAAATTACGATGAAACTTTCAGCCACCAATTAACGCATGTAATACAGCCAAAAACATCATAGTGTGGTGAAAAAGGAGTTTCATAACAGAAACATACGTTAACATACATTGAAACGTGTGTCGTGTTGAATTATACCATGTATCAGATACGATCTTGTATAATTCATTGAACTCTCCAATCTTATCTCAAACGTATTTATTGTATTAGATAGGGATATGGTCAAAGTTAGATAAACGCTCATAGATACAGAATGTTGCTATGTGTTAACATGCGTGTGATTTGACTAAAAGTTTAGTAGTGTTAAAAATGACTATTTGTTGTGTCGACTACTTGTGTTATGTGAAATTAAACTTTATATTGATCAGTATTTAGACACTTAGGCCTGCTATCGAGTTGTGAAAGACAAAATGGACGGACGTACGTTCTTTTTTGTGAATATAAATTTTAATTTTCTTAACTATAAATTAATGTTAGGCAATATACTTAAATTTACTGATTATTTTACATTTAAACTGTGTAAATTAACGTTAATCAATTGATTTTCTTTTACTTATATATATATATATATATATATATATATATATATATATTTGTTTGTGTTACTACTATAATAAGGGTTCAGATTTTCTGATGACAATTTATTTACATACTAATATATTAGAAATGATAATACAGCAAACCTACAGAGATTATGTGGGTTTTCTGTTTGGGAAAAGTATACTAAGTATAGTAGTTGTAAGCTTGACTGCTAGATTGCACCAAATTCTCATGTCAAGAATATTCAGATAGGTTCAGCTAATTTTATTGAGTTTTAAAGGTTATACACACAAAGATATTGCACGGGGAGGTTTATGTAAAACTTTTAGTCTTTGAATCTATTAGGTTTAAAGTTTAGTGTGACTTAAGGTGACACTATTTTCATTATTTTCAGCGCTCCCGATCGACATGTCAGTGATAATTTCAAACAGTGTTTGTATACTGTTTCTGGTTCTATTAATATTCCATTTGGGGACAAACCTTGTGTAGTGGTAGAGCGTGGAGCTTTGGAGCCCGAGTTCCCGGGTTCAAATCCCACCAATCACTAATGGACCAATCCATGTGATAATGCCGCAGCCCACTGGCATCCTGAAGTAATGTGTGTAACAGATCTTAGCTAGAAACGCTCTAGGATGTGAAGGACATGAAAAAAATTGTCAAACCATATAGACTATGTGAGTCGTGTTTTAAAAATATACAATTTGGATGGCATTATTATATCCGACCGACTATGAACCCAAAATCTCTCCCAAAATCAGCTGTAGGTGGCTTTATGACATGCTGCTGCTATCCTGAATGTTTTTTTTTTTCTCCTAAACATACTAGGACGATAGGTTTTAGCCTGGAACTGCTTTCACATTGCTGTAAGCTAGGCATAGAGGTGTCGTGGTATTAACTAGATAAAATCCATTGGGTGGATTTGAACCAAGGCCTTCTGAGACCGAAGCCCCGTGCTTTACCACTAGGGTAGCTCGTAGGCAATGCTCTTAAAATTTTCTTTCATATATCCGGAAAATTATTTTTTCTAGCGGGTTGGAATCCTAAGCCCCAGACGACGTCGAAGCCCCTGGAACTACTGGGGAGAACAGAATGGGCAGCACAACCTCCCAAGTGGACGGACGCACTTGATCTGCCTGTCAATAAGGTGAGAAAAGCATGAAATATTACCTCGTTAGTGTAAATATAACCTTCAAAATACCAACTAACGAGTTTAAATCACAGATTAGTACAAAGGCGCTTTTTACTTTGTTAGGGAACAAAAGGTTTTTTAGGGATTCAAAAACTTCCCTAGGGCCACATTTTTAACACTCAAAATACATAAAAAATGTGCTTGTAGCTTTGGGTCATGATGGTACCCGTATGCATATTTGAATGTCAATTTGTGCAACGATTTTATTAAAACTAGTGTACATGTTGCTCGAATTCGAGCAATTGCAAAGTATTACAGGAGTTATTTCAAAACGAATAACAGTCATATTTACAATGAGTTTAAAAGAGTCAACTCAAAGATTACCAGTGTGTAACTCAGATCATATTTATCTTCGTTGTTGATAAACCTAAAGCATTCCGGCCGATTTTCTCCTTCTCAAAGTGCCTCGTTGTACAGGCAATACAGGTCATTGATAGAGGGCCAATTGAGAACGAAAAGTCGTTTTGGGGTAGTGTTAGGGCGCGAGATTGACCAGGGTCAGGTGCTGACTGGGATGAGTTAAGCCTACCATCGATGTATAATAACGCCCTTTACGCGCCACTGTTCTGTAGCTGCGGTCGTTATCACGATTACGCCTCTTGTCTAGTTTCGTTGTCGTCGCGTCGGAGGCATTTAAAAGGAAATACAACAAATAAACAAATTATAGCTATACAAAACAACGATAAATGCACAAATTTAAGTTACAATCATGCTAACTCGATCCGTCATAGCGACACAAAACAACCATAAATACACAAATTTGATACAACAACCATACTAATACGATCCATCTTGGGGGTTATGTTTACACAAACTCAAATAGTAAATAAATGTACTCAATGCGTTTCATTGAATTGAAAAATAAATAACAGCAATTAAATTATACAGCTGATCAAAATGTAAACAATTATGTTCTTCATAAGGATAACATGGGACCTTTCAAAGCCACTGGGGCAGAGCCCAAGGGACTATTCCAAAAGGTGTCCTACTATTTGCCACCAGTGTCGTTTGCCACCAGTGTCATTTGCCACCAGTAGGGTCAGTTCCTGGAATTCCCGCCGTGGCCGTTCCTATGAGTCATAACCATGTAGATGTACTTATAATTTTTTTGGATATTAAATAAATGTTTATAATTCCAGTTACAACTTTGGAAGTGAAAATTAATTTCACCATCTTGTTCGGCAAAAGAAAACGCACATTTTGAGTCCAAAATCACATAATCGCAAGTTAAACAGTATAAGCCTATCTATGTTAAGGTATTTTAAGCTATTTGAATATTCCTTACATGGCCTAAGATTAGATAAATAATACAAAAATAACATTTGGCACAGTATACAACGCATCAATGAGATTAAATCCTATTAAAATACTTGAAAAGACGCAGTTTCAGTGTTTAGTATTCTGCGAATATACAGGGCGAAGAACTTAAATGTACCACCTAGTTGCAATCTCAGAAACTATTTGATTTAGAGAAAACATTATATGGGGAATTTCAACTACTATCTTATGACATTCAAAAATATGAATTCTCTTCCTTTAAAGTGTGATATTTTCATTATTTAACTTAAAAATTTCTTATCGGACACCATGTATTTTATGACGATTTTAGACTGTAATTTCAAAAATGTTTTCAGTTTATTGTTTGTAGCTTTTGGTTACATTCAGCAAGATATAGCTCCTAAACGAGTAAGTTTGGAGAAAAAGTGCAAAGAATAAATTATAAATGTTTTAAAATTACATCTACATTCTAAAAATATCATAAAATATATTGAAACTAGCTGTGTGCCCGTTCTACGCACGGGGATATTATTGTAGTCAGTTATTGAAACCTTTTTATTAAGAACAGAATTTGGTTTGCATATTTTCAGATATGCTGGCAAAACTATTATATACAGTATATAAACCTTCGCAAATACAGTATCTGACAGTTTCAAGCCAAAACAAATGCTTCGAAATTAAATGTAACCTGGGTCGTGTTGGTCCATATGTTAAATCCAATGATTAAACTAAAAAATGCTTTATAGATCTATGAGGCATAGCCCTAATGTAGGCCTATAATTGAAAGTTACCTTCCACAATGGTTAAAAGTATTTAAGGTACTACTTCAACCTCCCAATTTAACACTTTATTCGTGTTGACATTTTCATTATAAAGGTACTTTTGTCCTTTCCGCGAAACACTGAGAAATAAGGACATTAATGCTTTACTAACAGACATACACACAAAAATACAGAACTTAATTAGGGGGTTTGATACGCTTTAAGCATAACAAAGTACTTGTAAAGTTAGTATCTAAAATATTTTGTTAATGTCATCAAATTTCATCATAACAATGTATATTTGCTTGGACCGATGATGACCCGAAATGACGGCTTACTATATGAAATGAAGACGACTGGTCCAGGGTGGTCCAGCCACCCTGGTATAGACGATTGGTAATTTATAGTAAATATTACCAAAATAGGCCACGAACTATTGATACATAAACAACGTAAAGCGTTTAAACAATTCATTATGGTTAGCTGAATAAATGTTTTACTAAAGTGCGTTATCGTTTTCTTAGCATAAACTAACATTTTGGAATCAAGAAAGAAAAAGCAAAAATTGTACAGTTAAGACATCAATTAAATTGAATACGCCTGTAATAATAAATAAGGTGCAACACCAACGATAACTAATTTGTAAAGTACAGTGATGTGTTGGTACTTAAAAATGATTCTTGCTACTACCAACAGTACCAACGGTTCTAAGGAATAGAACCGGTACAAAAAACCAACGTTCACAGTTGAGAACTATAGTACAGCCGACCAATTATATGAGTTAATCAAGTCCCGAGGTTATTGATCTCTTGGTTTTTGATTTTCTCGTAAAACGTTTTAAAACGGCAATCAAAGTTATTTCCCAATAATTGCTTTATTTGTAAAAAACTTTTAATGTAAACTTATCGGTGTTAGTTTAAAAAAAAAAAACAACCTCATACAAACAACTTTTGTTATTTAATAGATTAGGCCCTACGTACCTATTCTCTAAACAATGATTGGTAAAGGCTATCTTAGAAGGAAATGTGACAAAAATCACACAACGTTGGGTTTTTGGACGTTTGTAATTTTATTTCTTAAGTAGGTAGGCCGTGTATTCTAGGGAAAAGTACCGGTATCAAGGATCGTCGTCGAACAGTTTGTTATGAATAATGGGTAGGCGTACGTACCCAAGAGCATGGCTGTATGGTCCAGCGATTGCATCACACGGTGAGTAGGTACTATTGACTATATATATATAGTCAATGGTAGGAACAGAAAATAACACATTAGAAAAGCGAGTTTAGCATCATCCGTAAACCTCTGTTACAATCAACCACTGCAGTTGTGATTTTTTACTTACCACTTTACACAACCGCCATTGAAGCGCCGTGTCAATGAGTGGAAACCATATTTCTAAGCCATTGGCGACGATCATTATTAAATTTAAAGTTTCCCAGCCGTATACAACACTGATTCAAGGTCTTCTTTCTGGTTATCAAAACTCAAGAACAATTTATACACAAAGAATCTCTGGTTCCTGAACTGGATGATGCCTAGTTATTTCATTTCATTTACACGGTTACACTATTACACTATATTATTGCACTTTCGATTAATTAAATCCGTTATGTAAGAAAAACGTTTTTAATCACTTGGGATTTACATTCAAAACGTGATTGAAAAAGGTTGCGGTATTTGTAAACAACATTTGTAAACATATCAGTGACAGCTAGGAAAAATAATCTTGATCCGAACAGCTGTTCGTTATTTCATAGATGATTATGCAATAAAAATTGGACGAAAACTTGACATAAATCGCACAAAACTACATTTTTGAACGTTCGTAATATTATTTACAAAGTAGTGAGGCCATATTTTAATGGCTAAAGACAATCTCGCCAATCCAGTGAATACATTAAAATGACTGGATCTTGATAGGTACTCTCGTTTTCCAGGAGAAGATAGCGTAAAATGCCATCTTGAGTGTTACAGACAAAGGGAAAGACAGACAGACAGACAGACAGACAGAAATTGAGATAAGACTCGTTTCTGCTTATTTAATGTATAAGACGTAAAAATAACCTAAAAATATATAATTCTGAGCAATGTACAGACAAAACTCTAATTTTATTTATATAGATTATTCCTTTGAGACGTTAGGTTCATGTAACAGTTATGGGATAAACAACAGACCTAAAAACGGTGTTTTGTTATCATAAGTTATCTTGAAGTTCTTTGGAAAGAATCCTTCATATGTCGGTATTATGTTGTGTAAAATTCTGCCTGATAACTTCTTAAAAATAAGCAACTAAAACATTTATGTTAACCAAGTGCGTCTATGGTATAAATTAATTTATTGATTGAATGTGGTTTATTTAGTACGTTATTAGTTTACATTTTTATTTAGCCGCTTTAGATTAAGTTTGTATTAAAGATTCATTTAACCGTGATGTCATTCTTGTGCAATATGCATCTACTTATGTATAATTCAACTTTAAAAATCTTTGTACAACTAAACCTAGAGTTTTAATGGACCGATTTATTAATTAGTGGGTCATTGGAAAGCTTAATTCATGTAGATTTGCAAATAATTATGAACGTTTTTAGCGAATTAATAAATAAATTAGACTAACACTTTGTAAAACTTGAAGAGAACAGCACTAACTATGTCGTAACACTACAAAACCACAGATAGGAATGAGCGTTTCCGTTATGTATTCCCCTACTCCTAGAGAGAGTGTTGGAATTTTTACCATACAAATGTTGCAAGAGAGGGTGATAGTGTGAATTATAGGTATTCCTTGGTCCATCGGCCGGTGCCTAGAGGGGTGATGACCGACGGACTAGGGTTGGGGCTGATGACTCACCCAGCCAGGTATAAAGTGGTGGCAAATGACACAAATCCTAGAGTGGTGGCAAATGACACTGGTGGCAAATAACACATATTCCTTTCAAAAATGTAAGGCCAGTTTGCAAATCTACGCGACACGCTCTTTCCAATGAGACGTCAATGGATAAAATCGGTTAAGAAATGGCGGAGGAGTTCAACCGACAAAGTTTCATGTAGCGTATTAATTATATAGATATGTCTAGTGAAAATGAATTATTTAAGTCTAAATTGCAAAGGGCATATACACTATAGTAAGAAAGTTAGGATTACGCAATTGTTTTTAAATGGGCAAATTTAAGTTTTAGCTAAATAGTTGGTCATTAAAAGTTTAGTATTTCATCTAAACCACGGTTTACTTATCTTTAAAACGGCGCAAAAAACCAGGGGAAAACCAGGGGGGTTAAGGATGGCTTTAGAATTGATCAGGTACCTTTTTGACCTTAGGGTGTGTTTTGTTGTTGTGTTTTCGTAAGGTAACAGTACAAACCCTAGATTTTACATATACCTTTCGTTGGATACATTAGCGTCAATTGTTAGCCTATAACATACTGCAGTGGTTTGCCTATAGTGTCTATAGTGACTACAGGCATCTGGGTCAGAATCGACTTGATCCAACCGTATCGTAACACTTCGGCCCAACTTCGTCCCAAAAATATTTGACATAACTAACTATTTTTTTGGAGGATAGTAAAAACTAACAACACTTCCCTCTTACTACTTGAACTGCTTTCCTCGACCCTTTTCAATTTTTCGTACAGCCGAAATGTTACTCTGTTAGTTTATTTAATTAACTGTAAAAGCGAGTGGGACGATGTATTAGCCTACTGTTTTTCCAAGAAATCTGAGCTCTGCCGAAGTGTTACTACACTGATTAAACCAGTTAACTTTAGAAAATGAATACAATCCAGATATTTTGTCTTTTCCAGCTGTTCCTCTCGGCCACTGGCAGGCAGACTTGCTACAGTGTGAGGGTATGCACTGGCGAACTGCAGAGGATACAAAACTTTCATATGAAGATCGAGATGATACCTGACATCAGATACAAGTAAGTTTGAACGTCATTGTTTTAAATTGTTTCTTTATATTAAAACTACAGAAAAAAATGTGTGTTCCGGATGAACACACATGGTTGAACCATTAGGCTGAAACTTGTAAAACTTAAGTAAATAACTTGGCCTATAGGCGTTTGTATATTCTTAAAATCCTATTTGGCTGTACTATGTGGTTGTCCAAATTTTAATATGGATTTGTTTTTAAAGCAAACTTAATCATGAATTGGTTCCAATGGTAATGTGAGAAAAACACATAGTTTACGTTTTAGGCAATCTACATTATTTTCTTTGTTTGCATTAAAATAAATGTATCAACCCAACTTCCACACAATTTAGTTTCCATACTCGCTCTTCGGCTCTTTGGATATGGAAGAGGGTGCTGCAGAAAAGAACAGTTTGGTTCTAAAAATCGAAATTAGACAATCGTTACTCATCCATCAAAGCCAAGCTACATCTTAGTTTTATAACACTTTTTGCGTTTATACGATGATATTTTAAGTTTTAGGATGTCAACAGCAACAGGCAATTGAATAATTATCGACTCCTTCAATATACGCGCTACACAGAACCGTCCAGACTTTTACTAGCCACTAGACCTTTTGAAGGCGCGGTTCAAGCAACACAGTAAATGATTCTTTTAGAATATAAACATTTATACAATGCCAGCCGACCTGGTTAGCCAGGCAAGTAGGCTAAATGATGAATATTGGACCAAGAATAACAATAACTTTGTTGCTGATACTAAAATCAGCTGGTTCTTCAGGACTATTAATGAGAATCCGGGATCACAGCCTGCTGCGTATTGTTTTAACCCATGCAAAAATATAAAACTTCTCATAATTAAACCAGGAACTTTATGATTACTCAGCATTATAACCACCCTGCTAGCACACACTTAGATTTTTTCATTTTGTATACTTATGTCATTTCACGAATTGTTTGAACTTTTTCCATCACTGTGGGCTTTGTTCACAGTTATTTACTTATCATGATGTTAATATCCACAATAGTAACGGCTGTAAAAATTGCTGTTGACAGCTATAAGTAAATCCACTGTGAAGCGAGCTGGTCTAGTAGAGATCGGGACTTCGGAGACCGAGGTCTGGGGTTCAAATACCGCCAAACACCAATGGATTTTATCTTATGCCGCGATCCTTTAGGACTAGCCTGAAGTTGTACAACAGTTCCGTGTTACCTAGCGTACCATCATGTAAAGGTTGGACATGAAAAAATGTCGATCCATATAGGTTATGTGTTGGTGGGTTGCTAAAATAAATTTACATATTTTGTTTTCCAGTTTTATCATCGGTGGCAAAGGTATAGTTTATGAAGGTCGGGGCTGGAATGTGAAGCCTAACCTACCTAAAATGTACGACTCTCTCGAAAACAAAGCACTCTTCATTGGATTTACAGGCGATTTTAGAGGTAGGAAGTAATTACACTTAGAATACTGATAATCAATTAATAACCGCATATAAAAATCAATAAAATTAATCTTTTTGTGACAAAATAACTACATAACACGACTTAAATCAGCTGCAGATGAATTAAAAGACTGCATGAAGGTGTTTCATAAAAAACCGCTGTTTCCTAAAATAAGACTTGTAAGGTAAATAAAAATTGTTATGTTACTTACTTACTCCTATGTCAATGTAAATCCAAGATGGTTTTTAGCCTCACCAACAATCCTCGGATCTTCTATATCTTCAGTAATTTCCTCTCTTGCTCTCAATCTTCTTACATCCTTCAGTACCTGGTCACTCCACCGCAGTCTTGGTCTTCCTAAAGGTCTTCTATCATTGGGTCTACTATTATAAGTCAATTTTATCAGGCTGGAGTTATCCCTTCTTAAAACATGACCCAGCCACCTCAGACGTTTACTTTTTATTATTGCAATTATGTCTGGCTCATGACAAATCTATCTCAGTTCTCTAAGTTTTCTTATCCTTCACACTCCTGCTTCATAAATAGATCTAAGTATTTTCTTAGTACCTTGTTTTCATAAGTTATGAGCATTCTTTCTGAATACTTATTTAATGTCCAAGTTATATGTTAGTCATTAAAAATACAATACTGATAAACTATACTAAAATGCATGTACGACTCATTGCATCACAAAATATTATTAATGTTTCAGTCTTTCTAAATCTTGGAAATAACAAGGTAAAATGAACTCAGGTTTAATGAGTATCACAGAAAATGGTGCATTTATTAATTTCTTGTGCAACTGATTGAAACGATGAAATAGATTGGAAAATATAATTAAAGTTTTATTCATTATTTGTACACGCAAACTGGTTGGGAAAATATTCATTTTACAGGTCAAAGGTAGAATAATTACTTTACTAATACAATGTTCAGTTCAATAACAATAACTTTTTCTGTCTAGATCCAAAGATCGCAGTGCCACCGGAAATGCTGGAAGCGATGGATCTCCTAATTAAACTCGGGATAGACTACAAATATATTTCACCTGACTACGAAACATTTGATTTGTAATTTGTATAAATATAGTTTTAAATTCACAGAAATTTCAATGGTTTTGGATCAAACAAACACTAATTGGAATTACGTCGAATTTTTACGTTTCTTAAGATTTTTCATATAAGCAGCCATTAAATTTGTTTTAACGTGTCTAACTTTACTCCTCCCTTCCTCAATTATTTTAATTTTAAATTGTAAGCTTACCTTTTCCCGTCCATGGGCAGTTTGATTGTTAATAATTAACCCTTTAAACTGGAATAGGAGTGTTATATAAATTGTGAGTATTTCCATTAGTTAATAATCTTTAGGTTGACTCTTTTAAAATCATCGGAAATTATGACTGTTTATTAGTTTTTAAACAAGTTATTTGTTTATAAATAACTCCTGTACTTCTTTGCATGTACACTAGTAAGAATTAATTCAAGTCTGTGCTCTCTGATGTGACATTTGCAAAATTAACCTTCATCTACTGGCATAAGAAGCAATGAAAAAATTTTAATTTTTGTAAATTTGACTCTTTTAATATAAAAATTACAGGATCACAACTTTTTAGATAAAGGGGGAACGTTCCCTAGAGATAAAGGGGACCTACACAATGCATCCACTGCCCTAGCAGATATCTTCCCACATAAACGTCCAAGCGCAGGAACGAGTTTGTGTAAAAAATGCGCGAAAAAAGCGAAAGCGCGTGGGTGGGGCCATATATTCATCAGGCGCGACAGGCGAGCCAATAGCCCCCGATGATTTACAGAGGTACCAACCTTGAGTTTCCGGTAGCTGACTGTCTTACCAACAAAACAAACTCAATTTTAAGACTTTAAAGCTTGCTGAGTTCATTGTATGCATTATTTAGGACAATAATAATTGTTTTTATTGTTACACTGCAGTAATTTGATTTTTTAATGCATTCTGGTCTTAAGTACCTTGTTTTATCCCCTAGAACCAAAAATATTCAGCTGCGGTTAGGGACATTTTAAAACTATATCTATATAGTAGTCCATTTATTTTTTCCGAAGAAAATAGTACAAATTAATTTACTATAGGCCTACTACTTGTACTATAATTCATTTTTGTTTATCATATTTTATCGGAACTATTTTCCCCATCAAAATCTGTACAATATGTCCTTGGCTTAGGCAAATTTTTTCACCACAGGTAAAAATAAAAAAAAGTACATATACCATTATTGCAAAAATAAACGTGTACTGTTCAATAAGCAACATACTTTTGAATCATCCTTGAATCCTTAAGTAAGTAAGCAAATCCGACGAATGAAAACATCCATAGTTATGGGACATAAACATATAACTGCATATAATTCCTTAATTCCCGGATATGTAACATAAGTATGAGTGCCTCGTAGTCCAAATTGCCATCCATGCAGCATAACTTGTACAAATTACACGTGACCAAGTGCATGTTATATTTACCAACACCCGGGCTGCATACCAACAATGAAGTGATAAGTGTGGTTCTGGTTTTGGCCGCTGCAGCGCTGTAGTCGCAGGTAGTTGGAATCAGTCACTGCGCGCGCGCCCATGTGCGAACATCAGCTGTTAGATTCTGTCACAGGTTAGTAAACTCTTTTTAAGACGAATAATTATCTTAAATTGTTTTATAGTACAACCTACTAATGGTTTGGGTTTGGTATTTTATTTTTAGCGATTATTTGATAAAGTTTATAATTTGAAATCGCTTAGGTTATATTTTATTATTAATTGTTTCACCTTAGTCAAATCCTAAAAGTGTTAGATTTTAAGGCAAAATATAATTTGTTCAATAGTTCACTGAATGTGTGTTTGCGAAATTTATACAGTAAAAAGATTTGGTTTGGAATGAAATCCTGTAAAAACGTAACATGTACTATTGACGTAAACAAACATCAAGGAAAAATCAAATAATTCAATTCTTTAAAAGATTAATGTGTCAAAAAAAATCAGACGTTTCTTAATTGATTCCACATTTAGGGTTAAATGTTAAGTAGCTGAATCTGAGTGATTATAGTAATAGCCTATTTATCTGGATGTAGCTAGTTCGATCCTAACATAAGTCAATAAATATTCGTAACTAAAACCATAGTTTTTGGCACGAATTCTAGAAAAGACCCGTTATGAATCATAAACATAAACAAATGACGTTTTTGGACCGAAAGTTAATTAATGCTATTAGTCTAGGGGCTTTGTTTACTTTCGGGCCAAAGACGTCATTTGTTTATGTTTATGATCCATACCGGTATTTTTCTAGTATTCGTGTTCTTGGTCATAAGGTGGTAAATAAATTAATCGTAGCTAACGAAACAGCTGATTGTAGTCAGCAAACAAAACTACACAAAGCATACAGTCATGTGCTTCTCTACCATAAAATATATGGGTTATGAGCCCATTATATTTTTTATTCATAACTCCGTTTCACAAAAACAGTATTGTAGCAAGATAACAACTTTAAAAAGCACCCTAGTAGCTAACAAACACAGTTTAGAGGAAAATTGTCGCAATTTGAAAACTTATTGATAACTATTTAACTAAGACAGCACACCTATAAATAGGACGTGTTCTGGTATAATTATTTAATTTTGTTGTCCCTAACAAAGTTATGTGTTGAATATGAAATTTTACTGTTGAAATGTTTTTAATAACTCTCTAGAACAGATGGATTAAGTATTCCTACAACAAATTTTTTAATAAAAACAAAACCCTGCTAAATACAAGGAGTTTAATGAATACAACCACTTAGGGAATAGGTTTTATGTTTTTAAAAGGAGAATCACATATTTACCCAAAAACGCCTTTTTAACAAAATAAACCCATATTTAGAATTTGTTTTGAAAACTTTTTTTAAATGGTTAGAGATACCATGATGAAATTTGGTATAGTGTTAATTTGGTATATCTTAAATACAGAAAAATAATTCACACACAAAATCTATTATAGTTTCAAAATTATATGTTGGATATTTTTTATACCTGTTGTTATAATGTTTCTAAGTCAAATAAATATAAAAAATCTGTTGGTTTAATGGAAAATGCAAAAAATAGCTATTTTGGATTTTTATATTTCTTATAAGACAACACCGATCTAAAATGTTTCGATTATAAAAATTGCTGGAAAATCACGATTTTAGTTATACAGACTAGGCGCACGCTAACAGCTTGTCCTTATAACCTACAAAAATCAGCTGATTAAAGAAAACACATCGCTCCATTGTTGGTAAACATATGTTTTGCTATTTTGGTGAGACTTTAGCGAATAAGATCTTTTCACATTATCCCCCTATAACAAACGGATAAAGTATTGTTATCATAAAAATTTTCAAGTTTGGAATTCGTATGAAAATTACACCTTTTTGTGTCACACTGAACCCCAAAAAGTGGTTTTGGAGTAATTTATGTCTGTGTGTGTACAGATCTACGGACCACACCTCCTGTCATCCGATTATGATAAAATTTGGCTATGGGGCTTATGAGGATAATAATCAAGTTTTCCCATTTTTTACCCTCAAAATGTCAAATGTTGCTATTTATTTCCAAGACATTTTATAGAATTTAAAAGATAAATAACATAGTGTAATAAAACATTGCTTTACGTCCAATCGTTTCAAGAATCTTTAAATTTTCAACGTTTTTTTATAGAGAAATAGTTAACTGTTTAAGTTTACTTTTTGTGGATTTATTTCGATGAATTTGACATTTTTTTTGTTTAATTATAAGCTATCAACATTTTACTAAATCACACTATTACCTTCGCTATAGCTATAACCCCAAGTACTCAAGAAAATAAATCTGACATTTAAAAATATTTGAGTGAAAATCCATTTAGGCTACAAATGGCAATGCTCAATCTGTAGGGTCTTAGTCTAAGGCAGGGTTATATTTATATTACTCTTTAAACGCCCGGTATATGCCATACTAGTATAACTTCAGGATTAATTTGCTCCAGTGAGGCACCGCTTAAAGCTTAGTAGGCAAGGTCAATGTCTGCTCACACACACACACACACTCAAGACTATTTTTTATGCGTCCGTTGTCTCAAAATATGAGTCCAGCCGTCCAGACTGCATACTGTACGCTACATTGGGCTTGTTCTGCATCTTTGATTCTGATTGTTTAGACAATAATAGTGCTGTTAAGTAATAGAGGAGGTGGAACAAAATAATCTTATGATTACCACCGTTAATTTATATGTAAAACAGTAAATTACAGATACGGAAGGTAAACAATATATACTTTGGTGCCATTTTTTTCGGTGGTCCTCCTAGGTTTTTTGTGATTAACTTACGATCATACACACACTGCAGTAAGTGTTAGAATTTTGGAATTTTATGGTTGGGTAACAAATGTCTCTACGTAATTGATTTGAACAAATATGAAGTGAAAGCTTCCTATTTTAAATTGACAAAAGCTCAACGCCAAAATAGTCAGATAAAGAATAGGCCTCGGCGTTTGCCATTAATTTACTAGTTTTACATGGACCAAATTTTTTACAAATTGATCTCATTGGTTGGTATTGTGTAAGAAGACAAATTTAACAACTATTCTAATTACGATGGAAACTGTAAAAATTTTAAAAGTTAACTTTTCAGTACTTTTATGTTATTTTGACTCTATAATTAAATGTAGATAAAATTAATTCATAGTAATAAAATATAAAATTTAAATACTATTGAGTTATCTTGACGTGTGTATTATTTAGAATGACTATGTAACCTTACCTAACATGACAACACAAATATACAATACAATTGATAGGGTCAGGATATTTGAAAAGGACTGTTCTTAAATTTTAACGCATTTTTCAGTTTCTATCTGGACAATTTGAATTGGCAGGTAATAGGAGTTTACTGTATTAAATCATGTATATAATCTCGAACCATTCTAGATCAATGGTAAGACTATCAAAACCCATTACAGTAAATTATGAGTACAGAATATTTCACAATATTCCACTTAACACTTGCAGTTTCCTTGGGATCCCTCCCACCATCTCATTATTAGGTCATAGTTTACGTACAAGAGGTGTGATAAACCCTGGCAATAATGACTACAATAAAGTCAACTGAAACACCCCTTGCTAATCACCTGAGTCACACTTCGCCTTATAAGGAAGTGCCTTTTACACGTTTTATTACGAGCTTGATGATAAGGTAGAATGTTATTTGAACTTCAAACGTGGGAAAATTTATGACTTTGATGTTGAAAAGACACTCGAATTCTGAACATGACGTACTTGTAATACAGAAAAATATTATAAATGTTTTTAGGATAAGTCGCCCTGGGCGTTACCAATCTACTGACGATTTTGTCTTTATTTCTGTTATTAAGTACGAAAATGTTTAACGCGTAAGGCAGGGTGCACACTGGAGAAATCCGTTTCAGGAAACCGATTTCATGAAACGAGAAACTTTAGTTGCTCGCAACAGATAGATTAGTTTAACACAGGGCAGTGCACACTGCGTTGCATGAAACTGTAATTTCATTTGTTTCTTGCAACTGGTTTACATGAAATCCAAAAAACAGATTTCGTATAGGCTTCAGTTTCACGTTTCTATTGGTTTATTGACTTCCTCAATGTACCATTGTTATTTTTCCTCAGCACTAAGAGCTAACCTCCGGTTGGTGTCCTTCTTTGTTATTAGTGGGCTAAGTAATTCCACCAAACGTTCAAAAAGAGGCTTTGGCATTCTAAAATATAAAAAAATTGACAGGATCACTGCATAATTAATGAGCTACAATGTAAGTACTGTGTTGACCATCCCTAATCAACAGGTGAACCCAATACTTCCTTCTTTTAGTTTCCTTTAGCCACCACCAATGTAGTCACATAATCATCATCCGAATTCATATCACGAAACTGATGGAATCCCGTTTCTTCTGTGTGCATTTGTTAAAGAAATGGTTTCCTTGAAACCAATTTAATGAAACCAGTTTCCTGAAACGGGTTTCTCCAGTGTGCACCCTGCCTAAGCGAATGCAAAATAACTAATATATTAATACTTATACCAATTTAATGTACCAAATATATATAATGAATACTTGTAACACAAATATTTATAGCTAGTTTTATTTTGGTTTATTTGTTACGATACTTCATCGAATTCATACTCTACGAAACTAGGTTTTTGGTGAACGAATTATAAAACAATTAATTTTAACTCAGTATAATTCAAGACTTTTAAATTTTAAGTACACCTCAATTGTTTCTTGGCAGCAAGTGTTTCTGTTTTTAATTTGAACTTCCGATATTTATTTCAGTGTCATATTTTTTTGCTAGACCTCAAAAAGAATAAGAGGTGGTCCCTACAAGACACGGTTGTTTTCTAGGGGTTCTCTTCTGAAAATATAATTGTAGGGTTCATCTTGTTTTAGTGATTTATTACTTGGGGTAGGCCACACCAGTTGTTTTTACTGTGATAGATGAAACGCCTTTGTTCTGTATCGAATGTTGAAAATCAACAAGTTTTAAACAGCATTAGTTTCTTTACATTAAAATAAAAAAATTAACTAGGTTTTACGTGTAGTTTAATAGCCTTATGCATGTCTAGGAGTAAAACTGTATCTAAAGCTGAAGATAAAGCTT